ATTTAGTAATATATACAGGAGAAGGGGTTACTAGCCCCTTGCTCCTGGCATTTTAGTCGCCTCTTACAACACACATGGGTTACAGAGGAAGAATTCTGTTCCACTTGCCCATGGAGGTAAGAGGAAATAAAAAAGGACAAGAACTAGAAAGAAAACCAGAGGGGTGTGTATATATATGCTTGTACATGTATGTGTAGTGTGACCTAAGTGTAAGTAGAAGTAGCAAGACACCTGAAATCTTGCATGTTTATGAGACAGAAAAATGGACACCAGCAATCCTATCATCATGTAAAACAATTACAGGCTTTCCTTTTACACTCACTTGGTAGGATGGTAGTACCTCCCTGGGCGGTTGCTGTCTACCAACCTACTACCTGGTTGATCAGGCTCTGATCCACCAGGAGGCCTGGTCACAGACCGGGCCGTGGGGGCGTTGACCCCCGAAACTCTCTCCAGGTAAACTCCAGGTAAACCTATAGGGAACTTCTTATTACCTATTATTATTATTACGTATCTCCCCCCTCCCCCCCTCCCCTCCCCTCCCCTCCCCTCCCTCCCCTCCTTCCTTCCTTCCTTCCTCCCTTCCTCCTCCTCCTTCTTCCTCCCTCCCTCCTTCCTTCCTCATTGTTATTATATACTTCCACATATCCAAAACATTGCTGGGACATATAAATGCTTTGTATATATTCCAAGACAATACTAAATGGCTACGGCAGGTGTAAATGTCCACCTGTCAGTGTGTTTGTGACAATTTCAGTACCTAATACTAGTGTCAGAACAAAGATTGGTTATAAAATGTCAAAAACTACTACAATGGAGGAGGTGAATGTATTTAGATATTTGGGAGTGCACATGTCAGCGGATGGGTCTATGAGAGATGAGGTGAATCATAGAATTGATGAGGGGAAAAGGGTGAGTGGTGCACTTAGGAGTCTGTGGAGTCAAAGAACTTTGTCTTTGGAAGCAAAGAGGGGAATGTATGAGAATATAGTTTTACCTATGCTCCTGTATGGGTGTGAAGCATGGGTGATGAATGTTGCAGCGAGGAGAAGGCTGGAGGCAGTGGAGATGTCATGTCTGAGGGCAATGTGTGGTGTGAATATAATACAGAGAATTCGTAGTTTGGAAGTTAGGAGGAGGTGCGGGATTGCCAAAACTGTTGTCCAGAGGACTGAGGAAGGGTTGTTGAGGTGGTTCGGACATGTAGAGAGAATGGAGCAAAACAGAATGACTTCAAGAGTGTATCAGGCTGTAGTGGAAGGAAGGCGGGGTAGGGGTTGGCCTAGGAAAGGTTGGAGGGGTAAAGGAGGTTTTGTGTGCGAGGGGCTTGAGCTTCTAGCGGGCATGCGTGAGCGTGTTTGATAGGAGTGAATGGAGATAATGGTTTTTAATACTTGACGTGCTGTTGGAGTGTGAGCAAAGTAGCATTTATGAAGGGATTCAGGGAAACCGGCAGGCCGGACTTGAGTCCTGGAGATGGGAAGTACAGTGCCTGCACTCTGAAGGAGGGGTGTTAATGTTGCAGTTTAAGAACTGTAGTGTAAAGCACCCTTCTGGCAAGACAGTGATGGAGTGAATGATGGTGAAAGTTTTTCTTTTTTGGGCCGCCCTGCCTTGGTGGGAATCAGCCAGTGTGTTAATAAAAAATAAATGAAAATTACATAAAATGTGAAAAATAGAAAAAAGGTATATCGGCAACACTTCTGCAAGCGGCAGGACTCGATGTTGCTGTCACATAACCCTCCAGTGCCAATTTCTCAGCCTCATATCTCGGTAAGTACTGACCCTAATATTTTTTTTATTCTAAAATACTTAAAAAAATGTGCTCTCTTTTTTCTATATAAAAAAACGATTTTTTTTTTTAATTCGTGGCGCTGCGCGAGTGAACGTATATATACGTTTGGACTGTTTAAGGGTTAAATGCAGGCTGGGGAAAGTTATGGCCTTGTGTGGTTAATTCTTTCACTGGTTTCACCTTGCTTGAGAGTCAGGTTCAGGAAATTGTTCAGCCTGCAAGGAGATTACCAGGTGATGGTTTTGAAGGTATGAATGAAGATGATGTGAATGAGCTCTTAGAAGATGATGATGATGATGAAGACAGGAATCCAGAGGAAATGTTGGCAGAGCTCGATGCACAGATACAAGGGAGGGAGATAACAGAAGATGATGATGAAGAAGAACCTGAAGAAAAACGGTTAACATTGCAACAGTTACATGAGCAGTTCCATGCTGGTGCTAAACTAGCAGACTTTTTCACTGAAGAGGACCCTGACAAATTTAGAAGCAATGTTTTGAAACTGGGTCTAAACCAGCTGATGATGCCTTACCGTCAGCTGTATAATGTATTGCAGGGTAAAAGAGTCCAGAGATCCATTACAGAATTTATGCACACTCCAATACAACCATCGACTTCAGTACCAGAACCTCTACCATCCACTTCTGTTGACAATCAACAACCATCCACCTCAGCCCAGTAGGGCCTCACCATCCATATCCACTCTCTCCACAATCATCCATACATCCCATTACCCACAATTTAAGGTAAGAAATACTATTATTTCTATTGCATTTGTAGTCTTAAGCAGTAATATGTCACGACAATACACTACAGTTACATGTTCACTTTTATTTTTGTAATATCTGTTGGTGTAAAAGAAAGTTGTTTGGAAACCATACCCCGGCCGGGATGGAACCCGCGGTCAGAGAGTCTCAAAACTCCAGACCGTCACGTTAAAGTTGTTTGGCTTTTTTTGGGGGCTCCCAGGAATGTAACCCTATTTTTCCCATAAGTTCTTCAGTTCATTTTACATGATTTTACCTAACACTGCATTTTCAGGAACGTAACTACCATGCTAAATAACGTTCTGCTGTACACACACATCTTTTGACTCATTGTGATTGTCTAGAAACTCTCTGTCTACAGCTGGTTGTAAATATTTAATGTGTTACAATGATGTAATAATATTGTGTTTTTACTCATAGTGATTACAATATTAGAAGTTCTGTTTTAAAGATTGAATTATTTAATTCATGATAGAAACCTTAAGTGATTATTAATGCAGTTAATAAAGCAAGCAGAAACTACAAAGATTCCATTTCTTCAATAAGTGAACCTTGTGTATGATTACCTCTAGGTGAGATAATCCTGTTCTTTTTTATAAAAGGGGTCTACAGGCCCTGTTCGTAACATATGCATACTGGTCAGAGAGCCCGCCGTAAGTCCGAGTTGTCGGTAAATGAGTATTTCACTGAGGAGAGGCTGTATAGTATGCTCCTCAGTGAACAATTTGTTTACCGACCTACTCTTAGGAATGGAACTCCGTTGTTAAGTGAGGAGAGAGACTCAGTGTCCAGACCCCCGATCTGAAACTGGTCCACAGGATCCAAGAATTTTCAAAAAAATTTTTTGTTATTTTTTTCTTATGAAACGACAGAGAATCTTTTTCTGAAAGTAATAAAACAAAAAATATAAAATTTTATTGAACATAGACGAAATTATGCTATTGCGAATTTTGCTATGTCAGCAATATTTATGCATCGGTGATGTTGCCCACTATGACTCCTATTTTAGGACAATTAGATTGTTCCAGTTGACAGAATTCTTAGCTATTTTGCTAGTGTGCCTCCTATTTTATCGATTTAGCACAAGAAACTGCCTAATCAACTATTTCAGCTACCCAATAAAGTGATCAGAAATTGGTAATTTGGCCAATTTGACACATTTTAAAATATTTAAATTTCAAAATAGGGTCCAGAATAAACCATGCAGGCATTCCTGGCACTAAAATTTTTATTCACACAAAAAATTTATTTATTTTGTTATGCAATATTGTAATAATTGTACAGTGGTACCCTGAGTTTCGGCCATAATTCGTTCCAGAAGGCTGTTCAATTGCCATTAATGAATTTGTTCCCATAAGGAATAATGTAAACTAGATTAGTCTGTTTCAGACCCCCAAAAATACACTTACAAAAGCACTTAAAATAATACACTTGCATAATTATTCAAGTTGGGAGCTGTACAAAACTCCATTTACCACTGTATAAGTAGTATCAGCTCATTTGATATTTGTATAAATAATATCAGCACACTCGTGAACACATATTAGACCAGCCAGTTGACGTGTATTGGATGCGTGATGTGATTTGTTTACTCTTGAACGTCAAAAATCGAACATTTCTGCTACTTTGAGCTCAGTTTCAAGCTGCTTATAGTCTGTAAACCATTCAAAATCCTCTTTTTCTGTAATATATATTTCTTTCCATCAAATAAAATCAAGAAAACGAGAATACACCCATAAATATCATAGGAAAATTGCAAAGTTGCTTTTTTGAACCCAAAACATGGTCACAGGATTTTTCTTGTGTGCTGCTTGCTGTAGGATTTTTTTTTTATGATGTGCACACTGACCATGCAGACCCATTCTCTTGCATGTAGGCCTACCAAAAGATTTGAAGCTGCTAGAATTTTGGCATGGTATTATGGGACCGACACTGGCTTCAATGCAGTAATATTATGGGACTGACCCTGAAAGGTTTAAAGATAAAATGAAGTGGTTAGCTGTTGGGTTAAGTGTATTCATACCTAACCACTCTATAATCTTGCAAAATCAGTAATCCAGCACCCTGCAGGTCCCAATGATTCTGGATTAGTGAGTCAACCTGTATTATCCCTGCAGGTCCCAATGATTCTGGGTTAGTGAGTCAACCTGTATTATCTCTGCAGGTCCCAGTGATGCTGGATTAGTGATAATCAACCTGTATTATCCCTGCAGGTCCCAGCGATGCTGGATTAGTGATAATCAACCTGTATTAACTCTGCAGGTCCCAGTGATGCTGGATTAGTGATAATCAACCTGTATTATCCCTGCAGGTCCCAGTGATGCTGGATTAGTGATAATCAACCTGTATTATCTCTGCAGGTCCCAGTGATGCTGGATTAGTGATAATCAACCTGTATTATCCCTGCAGGTCCCAGTGATGCTGGATTAGTGATAATCAACCTGTATTATCTCTGCAGGTCCCAGTGATGCTGGATTAGTGATAACCTGTATTATCCCTGCAGGTCCCAGTGATGCTGGATTAGTGAGTCAACCTGTATTATCCCTGCAGGTTCCAGTGATGCTGGATTAGTGATAGTCAACCTGCCTTATGTCTATGGGTCCTGTTGCAACTATCAAGAAAGTTCTTCAGTTCTGGATTTATATTGGATTTTATTCTGTAAAAGTAGGTTGCACAGTAGTAAGAGTGAATGTTTTGTATAGGTGTAGGTCTTTGAAGAGTGAAGGGAGGATAAGTGTTGTCTAGTAGAAGACTGTGTGATCATATGCACTACAGCTTTTTGTTGGGTTATTATTGGCTTTTGGTGAGTTGCTGTGGACATGAGCAGTGAGTGGTGTACACTGTGATGAAAGACAGGAAACCTTAGAGGTGCCTCTAAGCCTTCCACTTTCCCTACCTCCAAACCACCCACCCTACCCCTACCCCCAACCCCTACCCCAAACCACCCACCCAACCCCTACCCCCAAAATGCCTACCCAACCCCAACCCCTACCCCCAAACCACCACCAGCACCTACCCCCAGACCACCCACCCAGCCCCTACCCCCAGACCACCCACCCAGCTCCTACCACCAGACCCCACCCCAGCACCCTACCCAGACCCCACCACCACCCAGCCCCTACCTTCAAACCACCCACCTAACCTCACCCCTCCCCCCACACCCACTTAATCCCTACCTCTGCTGACCCACCCACCCAAATCCTACCCCTTCCCCCCCACCCAGTCACTACCCCATGCCCCCTGCCCCTATCCACCTAGTCCTTACCCCTGCCCCCTATACCAACCTAGAGTCCCTACCCCCTGCCCCCTATCCACCCAGTCCCTACCCCCTGTCCCCTATCCACCCAGTCCCTACCCCCTTCCCCCTATCCACCCAATCCCTACCCCTCACTGCCAGGCCATCATTGCCAAGCTAGTGATGATTCTCTTCAAATTGCTTGTTCTCTCTAGGCTGGAATATTGCTGTACACTAATGGCCCCTTTCAAGGCAGGTGAAATTGCTGCCCTGGAGAATATACAGAGAGCTTTCACTGCACCTAAATTACTGGGAACGATTGAAGTCCCTTGATTTGTACTCCCTGGAATGCAAACGAGAAAGATACATGATATACTCTTGGAAAATCCTAGAAAGACTAGTCCCAAATGTACACATGAAAATCACTCGCAACAAAAGCAGAAAAGATTAAGCAGGCAGTGCTGAAAAGCAACACAATAAGTGTCCAGGGCCCAAGATTGTTTAACTGCCTCCCAGCATACTTAGGGGGGATTACCAATAAACCCCTGGCTGTCTTCAAGAGGGACCAGGACAGACACCTAAAGTCAGTACCTGACCAGCTGGGCTGTGGTTCGTGCTTTGGTTTGCATGCGGCTGGCAGTAACAGCCTAGTTGATCAGGCCCTAATCCACCACGAGGCCTGGTCATGGACTGGGCAGTGGGGACGTTGACCCTCGGAATGTCCTCCAGGTACAGTGGAACATTGGCTTACAAGCGCCCCACCGTATGAGTTTTTCAGGATACGAGCAATCGCTCGGTCGATTTTTTGTTTCTGGATAAGAGCAAAAATTCAGGATGCGAGCTTCCCCCTCAAACAACTTACAAAAGTAAAATTGAATACAATATACAGTGGTCCCTCGTTTTTCATAGTTAATCCATTCCTGGAGTTGCTACTATTATCGAAATCTACGATTTGCAAATCAATTTTCCCCATAAGAAATAATGTAAATACAATTAATCCGTTCCTGACACCCAGAAGTATTAAAACAAAAAAATTTTTTACATGAAATATAGATGTAGTACATAAACAATACAATGGGACATGATGAATGAAACATTAACAGCATAACACTTATCTTTATTGGAGATTCTTCTTAGTGTATGGGAGATTGGAGGAGGAGAGAGATTGGATTGTTTACAGTTTGGAAGGGGAATCCCCTTCCAGTAACACCTCAGGTACCAATTGCTTTTCTGGGGTTGCTTCTCTTCTCTGTTTCTTAATGCCACTAGGACCACCTTGAGAGTCACTGGAGTCCTGTCTCGCAAAATAACTGTGGAGAGAGCTCTGTTTCTGGCGTCTCTTTAATACTTTCCTAAAATGGCCCAAGACTTTGTCACTGTACATGTTGCCAACATGGCTTGCAACAACCTTGTCAGGGTGATGTTTCTCCATAAATCTTTCCATCTTACCTCACATAGCAAAAATCTCTTCAATTTCTGAAGAAGGCACCTTCTTCCATCTCTCTTCCTCCTCCTCTGCAGCAAGATTCTGAGCTGCGATCTGTTGCTGTTCCTGCTGAAGCTCTTGCAGCTCCTCAGTGGTGAGCTCTTCGTTGTGGTCTTCCACCAACTCTTCCACATCCTCCAAACTCACATCCAACCCCATGGAACTCCCCAGTGCCACAGTTGATTTAACAACAGATATAGGCTCATCAGGGTCAATCCCAAACCCTTCAAAATCCCTCTTGTCGACACAATCTGGCCACAATTTTCTCCAAGCAGAGTTCAAAGTCCTGGTAGTCACTCCCTCCCAAGCCATACCTATAAGGGTTATGCAATGGAGGATGCTGAAGTGTTCTCTCCAAAATTCCCTTAGGGTCAAGTGAGTGTCTGTGGTCACAGTCAAGCACCTGTGAAACATTGCAAGCACTAAAATGAGTGGAATACATGTATTATGAAATATTTCGTAGGAGCACGTGAGGGGACCTTCGCTCACTGGTAAACAATGCCAGACTGGCTGGGTAGGGAGGCTGCTCTGGCTCACACCATGCGTATGCATCCCGGACGAACTACTATTCGCCAGTCAACCTATGATCAGCGAGCCCATGTTTATACGAAAATATCCCTATGATTTCCGAAATCTATGATTCCCGAGAACTACGAAAAATGAGGGACCACTGTATAATTGTAGTTCATCGTCGTGATATGTTGTTTTTACTGCTTAAGACTACAACTGCAACAGAAATACAGTGAACCCTTGGATTACGTCATCGTCGGATTTCATAATATTCTGAATAAGTAATGTTTTTTCGTCAAAATATTGGCTCGATGATCGTCATTGAACTCAGTATTAGTCATTTGTCCCAAATGTGTCCGCACGGCCTGAGCGTTCGAACACCATTTACAGCCAGTGTGCCATTGTTTATCAGCCAGTGAGGATGATCCCAGTCGTTCATATGATATACATATTGTGTATTATTCCATTCTCTGTAGTGCTTGCAACTGCTAAATAAGCCACCATGGGCCCAAAGAAAGCTTCTAGTGCCAGCCAGCCCTTTGGTAAAGGGCTGAGAGAGAGGGAAGAATGTGCCTTTTTCAGTGATTCTGCAGTTTGTACGATAATAAAGCAGCAGGAGTCGATAAAGGCTATAGCACCAGTCAGTGATAAAGTGTAGCATTAACAGTGTAGCAAGTAAGTTAAGTGATTAATCGATAGAAAAAGGACAGTACGAAACTGGCTCCTCCATTGTTGTTGGAGGTATGGTAGGTGTATATTGTTTCTATGTTATTAATATTGTTTATTATGTCATATTAGATGAATTGTGCTAGATAAATAAGCTGTAGAGCTGATATTAGTGTCATATTGAAGGACTGTCTTGTCTGGTCTCCCAACACAATTCCTAACATAAGCCAGAAAGACACTCAAGCTGGTCCTAGTGGCATTAAAAAACAAAGAAGGGAAGTAACCCAGGATAAGGAATTGGTACCTAAAGTCTTTATGGAAGGGGACTCTCCTTCCAAACAGTTCTAAATTCCTCCATCCTCTCCCTTCCTCCCGTCTTCCATACATCACCATGTCTTCAGTAAAGGTAAGTGTGATGTTATTATTGTTTTATTCTTCATGTATCATTGTTTTCTGTGTAGGTAAATGTTTATTTCATGTAGAAAACATTTTTTTTTAATACTTTTGGGTGTCTGAAACGGATTAATTGGATTTCCGTTATTTCTTATGGGGAAAATTAATTTGGAATTTGTCACTCTTTCTGGAATGGATTAATTACAAAAACTGGGGGTCCACTGTAATAGTATTTATTACCTTAAATCGTGGGTGCTGGTATTTGTGGATGACTGTGAAGAGAGTGGAGAGTTATGCTGTGGACCTACTGGGCTGAGGTGGATGGTAGAGGTTCTGGTACTGAAGTTGATGGTTGTACTGGAGTGTGCATAAATTCTATAATGGATTTCTGTTCTGTTTTACACTGCAGTACATTTTACAACTGACTGTAAGACAGGAGCTGCTCTAGACACCGTTCCAGGGTTCTCTTCAGTGAAAAGTTTAACTTTAAGGCACTCAGTAAGTCAGTCAAGTCATTCAGTCAGTCAAGTCATTCGGTCAGTCAATCAGTTAAGTCAGTCAAGTCAGTAAGTCATTCAGCAACACAGGTATGCCTACTGGGTGTCATGATTACTTGGCAGATACAAGATATGGTAATTAAAAGATCAAAACACAATTCGCAAACACAGCTAGCTTGTAGGAGAGAAGTGGAGTTTAACATGTAAGTTGGGATGGTGTCAGGATGGCAGGGGATGGCGGGAGGTCTCCCTCGCTGACCCACAACAAGGCGCCCGCTTGAGGTAAAGAATGGCTGTACCACTGGTCACATAATGACATATTTTATTCATTCTAGAGTATGTATGAGGTTTCTTATGTTATTTATATTGTAAATTGCCCCAAGACACTACTAAAGTTGCCTTCAGACTACATAATGAAACAGCTGTTAATAACTTTATAACAGGTATGAATAACGTTGACTGGCATAATGAGCTTGAAATATATACAGATATGAATGAATGTATTAATAAGTTTCCCAAAAAAAACCACTACCTCTATAACAAGCATTGCCCTAAAAAACTAAACCGATCACAGCTAGGAGACTGAACAGTCCCTGGCTAACACCCAGCATCCTTAAATCCATTAACACAAAGCACCTATATGAAAAACAGTATAGAATGGGTCAAATAACTAGAGACCATTCTAAATGTTACTCGTCAGTCCTTATCAGCCTGATAAGGTGGTCAAAAAATTTTTATTATGAAAACAAATTACATAGCATAAAAGGTGATATGAGAAAGACCTGGAAAACCCTATCTGAAATTCTAGGAACTAAAAAGATATCCAAAAACAAAACAATCAAATTAGCAAAATCAGATGATCCCCCTACTCGCACCA